CACCAAGGTCTGTCCACATAACCAAGGGTGGGGGGAAGTATCATCCCTGTCTGCTTGCTGCAGGTTTAGACCAGGCTTATAAGCGATAAGCTTTTAAAGGTGAAAGAGAAGCAGCATGCTCACCCATCAGGGCAAAGCAGACTTCTCCAAAAAGGCTTCTCAGATGCTTTAGGAGCTGGATCGCCAGCCACTCGCACAAGCACACAAGAACAGGGCCAGGGGGAAGCAAGCGCTCACACGGCTGCCAGAGACTTCAGCTCGGTGCAGGCAGACAGGGCGGCCAGGAAAGCGTCACTCACCGGTATTCTCCACTGATGGAAAAAAGCTGTTGCTGAAGAAGCCTGGAAGACCCCCCCAGACTGGATTTCTCTGGCCCACAGGACGAAGTATACCATAAACAAAGATCCAGTGCTGATGGCAGCCAGAACACTTTGTCTCTCCTGCCTGCTTTTTCGGAGCTACGTTTGGTCACGGCTTTCCAGCTGGCACCTCGGACCTTGGCTCACGGACAATTACATCCTACTGCCAAACCATTTCCCAACAACAAAACACATTGTGGGGGCTTATTTATCACTGAGCTTTTGATAAACATTTTGGCAGGCAGGGCGGACTCCTCCAGCAGCTGGACAACGCCATCAAAATGACCTGAAGCACGTAAGCTATTTGCAGCAACCAAGAAAGCCATAAGGTAGAGCAGAGCCTACATCTCAGAGTCTGCTGAGCTGCCAAAAAAGCCATCACCTTCCTGCATACTAAGAAGCCCTGAACAGGATAAACAGCAGCTACTCAAATCACCTGCCTAAGCAGAACTCGACAATATTCATTATTCTGTTAGGGCTGCAGCTTTGCTGTAAGATGGGAGCATTTTTGAATGTTGATTATGGCTTCCTGTAGATGGTCTGAAACTATTCATGAAGGACCTTCTGTATCACACTGTCTGGGAAGAGTTGGCAAGCCACATTTCCAGAAACTGTTTAAATCACTGGCACATGAGGACATCAGGAATGATACTAGCACTGCTTCTCCCTTGCTAGATCAGAAAGTGTCCCCACAACCCTCTTTCTCCCCTCTGTGATGACTCTTGGAATAGCTTGCATTTGCTCACAGCAGCCAGAAGAGCCACAGCTGCTCACAACAGTTGAGAGCAGTGTGCCATCTCTGCTGTCGGTATGATTGAAACGTTAAAGCCAAGCAGAAAAAGTCAAAGAGCAGAAATCCAAGAGCAAAATGAAAGATTTCTGAAGCACCTTTAGGCATCACTAAATGCCTTTCACCACATACTGTGCTGCGACAATTAATATAAAAATACTTCTGCAACGCAGCAAGCTCCAGACTCCTCAATTTTGTTCTGCAGGTCGCAACACTACTGGGTTTCCATCTCTACCCTCCCCTGGCCCTGCAGTCACCATGACGTGGCTTGCACACTCTCCCTGCCCCACCAGTGCCTAGAGGCCAGTGCTCTGCTATCCCAGACATGATTCCTCCTCTTTTGCCCCAAAGCGAGACCCTGAAGTGGCGCGGTCAGGACCTGCAGGCCCAACAGACCCTAAGAGGGAAGGGATGATGAAAGCAGCTCTGATAGGAGAAGGGAAACTCAAACCTCGAGGAAGCAAGAAGAGACAAGGAGGGGGGTCCCAGGCACACCAGTATGCCAAAAGCCTCCACTTCGAGCCATGGAGCTCCTTGCACCCCTAATGAGATCAGATCAGCTAGGCAGGGCAGGGAGGGAAAGCAAGACAGATCTGTGATCCTTGCAGCAGATCCTGAGGCAAACGTGGCTGGTCCGCTTTGGCTGAAAGAAGGGACTAGTCCTCATTTGAAGCCAACGCATCAAGGACAGTGAAGCTATTTTACTAAGCCTCCACTTCGAGCCATGGAGCTCCTTGCACCCCTAATGAGATCAGATCAGCTAGGCAGGGCAGGGAGGGAAAGCAAGACAGATCTGTGATCCTTGCAGCAGATCCTGAGGCAAACGTGGCTGGTCCGCTTTGGCTGAAAGAAGGGACTAGTCCTCATTTGAAGCCAACGCATCAAGGACAGTGAAGCTATTTTACTTCAGAT